ATATTTACTTACTACATCCGTTTCATATTATTAGCAACTTTAGAATATTTTATATCTCACAAATAATACCCCAAAGTTACAACTAATATAAAACGGAGGTAGTATCATAGTTTAACTAGTCCAACCTTGGTGACTTTAATCTATTGACAATTTCCCTTGCACCTCCCGGGCTCCCGGCGCCCATCTACTTCAACTTAAAGTGTAGCATAGCATGTTAAAAATAAATCGATCGACCATTCCAAGTATAGTTGAGACAACAAAACAAAAGAACATTTTTAAAGATTTTTTAAACAACTTTTATACAACAAACTAACTTTCACCCTATTTCTTCCTTTAACTGAAAACATGATGAACAATAGTTCCATCCTTTTGCAACTTAATTCAAAGGCCCACAAAAGGTATATGCTTTTGTTGCAAAATGTACTCTTTCCTAAATCTTTATATTCCTTTTCAATGGATTATGAAGAAAGAAATGGTTACCACCGAAAGCCAAAAATGGAGAAGTTTAGCCTTTTAACCAATTACCGACTAATACATTTTCATGCTATTTAGGAGGTTGGTCAAAAAGAAATAAATTCATTCAATTTGAACTAATTGATCATGTGATCATATCCCTTGAATCTAGGCTTTCTTTATAAATGATGTATCATATTATTCATATATATCCATAATTTTCATGTTACATAACTAAAATTTAGACTATGCTAGAGTCTAAAATTGTATATCTTGTCAAAGATTATGTATAGTTCCATATTTTTGGGTCAATCTTGACACGACATGATTATTGCTCATCATGTTGCCATCATTATTGTTGGTCTCGTGATTTCCAGCATCCAGAGTGATGGTTTATTCTATTGTTTCTCATGTTATTAAACCTTGAGAGTCTTAACAATTTATATTCAAAATTAGTGAAATTTTGAAAAGTAAATCTTAAGATTATTTTTAAGAAATGTGAACATTCTTCGTATGTAAACGCTAAGCGAAGTACATATTTTGATAAAAAAAAAAAAAAAAAAAAAAAAGACATATAAGTAATGTTAGATTCATCTTCAATCAAAATTAAAACAGAGCCTGCAAAGCAGAGAATTAAGTTGGCAACTTAAACAAAGAGCCATTAAATATTGTTAGAAGAATAGTGACATGAATATATTATTCAAGTGATGATTAAGGGTCTGTTCTCATTGACTGAACTCAGCTGAACTGAACTGAACTGAACTGAACTGAATTGAGTTGAGCTGAAATGAACTGAACTGAACTGAACTGAATTGAGCTGAGCTGAATTGAACTGAACTGAATTGAACTGAATATTTTATAAGAGAAGGAAATTAGGAGCTGAACTGAATAGAACTGAACTGAACTGAACTGAGCTGAGCTGAACTGAACTGAACTGAATTGAATTTCAACGTAAGAGAACAAACCCTTAGTATTATAATCAAATTTTGGAGAATAACTATCATGGATTTTTTTTCCTCTTGCCATAATTAAAAAGTTACTTAACTTTATTAATTTCATTCAATGGAGTTTTTTTTAGTGATGTAAGAACCGAGAGGGGATAAGGAGTACGCGATTAACTAAGGTTTTGTCCTGCTATATTTTCTTTGTAAGTTGCAGTTTTCAATGAGATACTATCTCAGGCTTATCATATCATAAAGAATGAGGTACTTTGCAGGGACCTAATGCCACCTTCAGGGAGCAGCAGCATTATGAAAGTCCGGAGACCACAAGTCAGGGAAGCAAATTTCCAGGCCAGGCGAGCCAGGTTGAGTCTAACTCCTTTGCAGCTTAGAAGAAGGGAAGATCCAAGCTGGATATTAGAATTTACCTTTTGTAACCCCCTTGGTTCCTACTGCTATCATTTCTAATGAAAACTATAGCTCTTTTGGCTGTAAATGGCATGACTATTTGGGTGCTGCGACACCAAACTAAACCTATGTATGTTTTGACCTTGTACTTGTGTTTGCTACCTCAGAGGGGTGGTATTATTATTAATTAAATTCTGATCCTTTCCACCAAAAAAAAAAAAGAAGAATGAGGTACTTAAACCCCTAAGGTTTCTCCTAAGCTTTTGTTTGAGACACGCATAATTTTCAATAATGGACATCAAAATTATTAAATATTATAAGAATGCCCATTATACACCTGAGATCTTATGGTCGATTATCACCATGCAAACCCTAATAATAATGCATGCATATATATCTCGTTTGTTCATAAGAGGCATGATTATTCTCTCCCAAATTTCTCACTTTCTCTTTATTTTTATGGTATTAGTAATATTTTTTTGGCATAATTTTAGGCTATGTTTTCTTTCCTTTAAAACATACTCGATTAATAAAATAAGTTAAATTCAACGAAAGTAGTTTATATAAATAAAAATAAGTTAAATTTAGCTAAAACAACTTACTTGAAAAATAAATTTTAGCAAAAATTTAGGGTCTGCCCTCTTTAGCTTAATTTAAGTTCAGTTTAGTTCAATTTCAATCAATTCAGTTCAATTCCTAATTTCCTTCTTTCATAGACAATTCAGTTCAGTTCAGCTCCAATCATTCAATTCAATTGTTTTCAATAAATCAAAACAGACCCTTAAGTAGCTTCAAAAAAAAACAAATATGATAGAGAAAAACTTAACAAACAAATATAAATTAATTACATTGATGACAATCAACCGAAGAGAATATTGTCTTAATCGTTTTTTTTATTAGAAACCATACCTTTTAAAATAATTTAAAGTATCGTTCATTTCTAATCTCCTAATATTTGTTGATCTTATATTATTTGTTGCACTTAATATACTACCTCCGATTTATTTTAATTGCAACTTTGGGTATTATTTAAGAGATATAAAATATTCCAAAGTTGCAACTAAAAAAAATCAGAGGTAGTATTTTTATTGAACTTAAAATTTTTTACAGATTAGACCTTATTCTCTTCATTGTAAATATAGAATGTAGTATATATTAAAAGTAAAATAATCACAATAAAATCATTCTAGTTTAGTATGTTTAAGTAAAGTCTATCAAAAATAAAATTAATAATTAATGAATAAAAGTTAGTAACTTTACAGAAAAAATATAACAACTATTAGTAAAAAAATAAAGGAAAAATTGATGGGAATAATCCCACCTTTTGAGCGTCGGAAATTAATAATCCCACCTTTGGGATATTTTTAAATAATCTCACCTTTGTACCCAATTTACTCCTAATAGTCCCAACCGGTCATGGAACTTGTTATAACAAGTTACCAGACACGTGTTGGATAGTGATTGGTCAAAAAAAAATTAAGTTTAATTTTTTTAAGAAAAAAAAAGAAATTAATTGAATAATTAAAAAATCACCCACCAGCCTCAACCACCTTCCCCGCCGCCTGTTCCGGCCAACCTTGCTGCCGGACTCCCCTGCCCCACAACGCCGACCACCTAGACCGGATCCCCAGCGCCGACGCCACCCTCCTCCGAACCAACAACCTCCCTCCACCATCACGAAAACCCTCGAAACCAACCATCCCGTAACCCTCGAAGACCCTTTCTCTCTCCGGCCAGCCATCCCCAACCCCAACTCCAATGCCGGCGTCGCTATCAAACCCCCCTGAACCAATCGGCGTCGAGGAACCGGCCAGCGAGCTTTCCCATCCCCCGATCCCAGCCCCTCTCCGTCCCCCATTTCAACCTTCCCCGTCCCCCGTCCCTTGTAAGGTTGCTCCGATCTTCCCTGTCCCCCATTCCCGACGCGCCTATCTTCCCTGTCCCCCATCCCCACCGCGCCTTCCTCCCCTGACCTCGATTCAGGCCGACTTGGTGGGTTTTCAATTTTTCAAAGGTGGTTTTAGATTTGGTTTTCGAAGGTGGTTTTGGGGATGGTTTGGCTGGGGTGGGATCTTGGTCGGAATCTGGGTGGGTTGGTGGTTTGGCTGGGGTGGGATCTTGGTCGGAATCTGGTTGGGATGATTTGATCCTGGGGCGGTGGGAACTCGGTCGCTTTTTGGGGCGGTGGGAAATCGGTCGGAATCTGGGTGGGTTGGTGGTTCTAAGATCTGGGTGGTGGTGGCTGTGGTGTAGTTTGGGTGGTGGTGTTTTTTTTTTATTATTTTAATTTTGGACAAATCAAATTGTGACACATGTAAAAAAAAATAATAATAAAAAAAATTACCTCTTCAACCGGTTACTGGTCACCCAGGACTATTAGGAGTAAATTGGGTACAAAGGTGGGATTATTTAAAATATCTCAAAGGTGGGATTATTAATCTCCGACGCTCAAAAGGTGGGATTATTCCCATCAATTTTTTCAAAAATAAATAATAAGTTCAACAAAATTATTTAATATTAGTTAAGCAATTTTTATTTTTTATTTTTTTATTTTTTATTATATTTTCTTTTCTCAAAAAAAAAACAAGGCTCAACAAAGAGCCTAGCTTTTAACGGACTCTAAAACACTACAAGATAAATAGTGGAAACTCGCAACATAATTTAAGCTCAACAAGCTAAGGATGTTGATTTTTACGGACATGTTTGTTACTAATATATTTTTTCTTTATATTTACTGATTTGTACTCATTATATCTTATAAAATTAATTTATGTTCGTTCAACTTAACTTTTAATGTATCGATACTCTGTATCATTTCTACTACAAGAAAATTCTACTCGTATTATTTTATGGTTAAAAGAATAGGTCTATGTCCCTACATAAAGTTAAAATGCACATACACATAAAAACTACTTGTCCAACAATTTCACAGGCCATATATAACTATATAAGGGCTAACATATACTTCGTATTTACTATAACAGAAGAAATACTATTAGTCTTCGAATTGCAGTAACAGTCATTGACAATTTGAATTCAGATCGACAATCATGTGTAACTAACTAAGTAACTAATACAAGCATATATGGTAGCCTAAAGAATCAATAGAAGCTGTAAAAACCTCAAGGAACAAGGATACAATACATCAAAAGACACCATATGCAACACCAATGTAACACTTGTTAACTAAAAAGGCAACAAAATTATCAAGACTAACTTATAAACAAGAACTTTTAAGTCATTGTTCCAGGGCAAAGTGTAAGCTATTGATCGGTATAAAACAGTCTTCGAGCTAAGGGTGTATTCTTAAATTGTATAGAAAATGTTGATCTTGAACCATTGACAACAAAATTATCAAGACTAACTTATAAACAAGAGCTTATAAGTCATTGTTCCAGGGCAAAGTGTAAGCTATTGATCGGTATAAAACAGTCTTCGAGCTAAGGGTGTATTCTTAAGTTGTATAGAAAATGTTGATCTTGAACCATTGACGACACACAAATATTGTAAGCTGAGCTCGGGGAGTGTTTGAGAATACCCGCTCCGATGCCTAAATTAGTTTACTTGAGTGAAAAGGGTTTACTATATTTTAGAGTAATTCTGATAGAATTCTGTTACCTTGGGTGGCTTGGAATTTGCCCTGCAAGTGGTGGCTAGGATTTGGGGGACTTGGGGACCATTTGGACCTTTGGACTCTTGGATGTGGACCGCTTTTCTGGGCCTATCTAATGTTGAGCTGGGCTGGTGGAGCTTTTGGACTTGAACATGAGATGTGGACTTTGTCATTGGTCTTTGGATAGAGGCCCAAATAGGGTAGCAATAGAGTCCTTCAATTCAACAAATTTAATCATGCGAATCACATCTGAGTTTCTCTACTATTGTAACAACAGCATCCACACTGGAAATCTCATTAGCGCCAACATTGCGCGAAGAAATTTGATAAATGCCATATTTTAAACCAATTTTCTAAACAACAGAAATCATATACAACAGCAGCTTCTCCGAGAGAGGTCGAGAGGATGCACCATTTGGATATCTGAGATAAACAAAGTCAGCTCATCCCAAGGAGCTGCACAATTAAAGTGCATCTTTGCATTAATATTTCTCCCAGGGTATCTTGTTCAGCTAGAGCTTCATTGGACGCCTGAAAAATGCAAAGCAGAGCAAAACGATGAGGCATAAGATGCAGAAGAAGTAAAACTGCGCAACCTGATGCACACGATCTAACATAATAACAGGAGGTATGAAAAAATTAGTCTTAGAAAGTTAAAATACAACAAAGACTGAATAACAACACACAGCTTTACCAATGTCAAATTGTAGCCCGGTCACTTATAGTACAAATTCCAAGATGATGATTAGCATTCACTCAAAAATATTGCTAATACTTAAGGTAAACGACAAAGTAGTAATAATCGACATAATATTTTGTTGAACAAAACCAACTACAGCTGCATACACCTATAAAAAAATTTCATAGATTTTAAAGCTAACTTTAAAAATAACAGTAATTTAATAAAAATTATGAAAATTTAATTTATTGGAACAGGAAGGAATAAAGATGTGTTATCCAGCTGCCTATACATCATACAAAGGTATGAAACTGTACTTATGACGATAAAACCACCAATTGACCACAAAACTAACCTGGCATGCTAATTTAAATTGGTACAGGATCACTCTAGTAGACACAAAACTGACCAAAGTCCATCTTCAAATAAAATGTAACATATTCGGATCTAAACAAACAAGATTTTTTATCAACATAAAACCCTTAAATATAGATTATCATAGGAGAGACAGAAAGAGACTACAATTTTATTTTTAATTCCTTTGGCCAAAGAATATAATACTTGGTAGAAAAATCTTAAATATTACAAAACAGTAATTGTAAATGTTAAGCGAAAATCTAACAGAAATATGCCCCTTTACATGTCTGAATAGATAAATTCTAACCATCTAAACAGGAAGCAATGAAAAAGTTGCTATTACAGAGAAACTTAATCAGTTTCAGAACCCAATTCTCGAAATTAAAAGAAGCAGAAAACAATCTATGATGAATAAATGTTCAACTCTAAAAGCTGCAGTCATATAACAAGTACATTACACTATAGAAGCATATTGGATAATTTTTCCATGTCTATCAAAGAAGATGCACTTGCTACTTCGCCAGTAACATGTTAGCTTTCAAGCAAATACTAAGTAGCAAACCCATTGTCTGATATTGCCATTGGAATCAATTTACAGATAACAAAAATGTATAGCAGTAACAGCTGCAATCAACTGAAATGGCTTTTAACGAGAAAGAAACTTCGGGTATGATAACTTCTACCACATCATAGCATTAACAGCTTTGCTAATAATCTGCTGTATAAGATTTTATATAGTTGTTACAGATGTGATGAAATGTCTCACTGTTTTATTGGTATAACAAAGACAAAACATTATGTCAAAGCATATTAATTTGAATTTAAAATTTTTAATTTGTCTTTGTCTTTGTCAGATACGCTGTGATAAGCCGCTAATTTGCCAAAAGCATTGGAAAACCTGGGCACATGATGGTTAGTTAAATAAGCTCTCTAAAAACATTTCCTTTTGAGCCTGTAATTATGCTGGATTCAGAATATGCCAGAGCTAGCAAGTAAAAGATAACTAAGGCGATATACATTGTAAGGAGTATGTGAGGAAAAATTCTTGTAAAATAAAGTGGAACTTTTCACATTGTAATGATATAGTCGATATAGACATGACAGAAAAACAAAGTCTAGGTAAACAGCAGTATCAAGTACATTCAAATAACTACTGGAATGAGTCTAAAGAAACTTGCACCTGAAAGAGTAGCAACTGCTGTAGAGTAAAATCTTCAAACAATGACTTCTCACTTCTCCCATTTTGAGCTTTTTCATATACCAAATATTAGAACCAACTGTGTCTATCAGTTATGTCAAGAAAACCAAATATGATCTCATGATGCTGTGAGGAGTCACAAAATTACAGGTGATGAGAACACACTCATGGAGAATGACACAATTACCATCCAACTTACAAAAACTTCATCGATGTTAGATTGTTGAAATATGTAGGCCTCAACACTATCAATGTGAGAATCTCAAAAGTCTTTCTATTCTAAATTCAATAAAGCTCAGGTTATGCATATAATGCAAATGTATACTTCATAGCACGTTGGTCATGATTACCATTTCCGAGATGCTCCCACATGTCATGGAACAATAAGTCAATTGTTTGATAAATTTCATTTGTTTCCAGATGGGTCTCATCTCTGGAGGTGAAAAGATATGTCTTCCCCTTAATTTCTACCCAACTACAGCCCATATCTTTCCTTGTTTCAGGATCCTTCATCTGTCTCCGAAAATTAGGGACACCATATGATCTGCAAGAACCCTGAACATCAACAGTCAAGGGAAAGGTCCTTGATTCAGTGGACTCAAGTCTCCATAGCTGATCAGCAGCATAAAGACCCAGCTCAGAGTGTCCCCAAATCCTGCAACCATTCAGAATTGATTGCCAGAAGACAGGTGACGGTTCAAAGGGCATTTCCATCACAAGCTGTAATGCTTCTTTGAATAACCCAGCTCGTGCAAAAAGATCAGTCAGGCAGCTATAATGCTCAGGTCTAGGAATAATTCCATAATACTTCTCCATACTTTGGAAATATTGCTTTCCTTCTTCAACTAAACCACAGAAACAACAACCCTGGAGAACTCCCAAAAAGCTTATACGGTCAGGAAACACTTGGTCCTTCTGCATCTGATGGAATGTCATGATTGCGTTTAAACCATTACCATGTTGAGCATAACCAGTAATCATACAATTCCAACTAACAAGATTACGATAAGTTAAACCCTCAAAAACGCACTTTGCATCATCATAGCTACCACATTTCATGAACATCGAAAGAACTGAATTTCCAATATGGCAATTCTTCTCATACCCTCTTTTGAGAAGTTGCAAGTAAAGCTGCTTGCTCATTGACAGCATTGCTAAATCTCCTGAAGCAGCCAAAGCAGTAGTAAACGAGTGAGCATTCGGTTCAACACCAGCCAACAACAGTTCCTTAAACAAAATCAAAGTTTCAGCCGCCAACCCATTCTGTTGAAACCCTGACATGATAGCAGCCCAAGAAACAGCACTACGCTCCGGCATCTCCTTAAACAAACGCCAAGCATCACCAACACACGACGCCATACAAAGTCCAGAAATCATCGCTGTCCAACTAAAAACATCTTTACTCGGCATACATATAAAAAGTTTCATTGCAATGTGAATCATATTTCCTCTACTATACCCAATAATCATAGAATTCCAAGAAACATTGTCTCTTTCAGGCATTTCATCGAACAGTTGGCGTGCACGATCAATCATTCGATTTTCCATATACCCTCTAATCATGGCATTCCAAGCAACCGTATCCTTGCATGAAATACTGTCAAAAATCTCTTTTGCATGATCAATTTGTCGTCGACTGGAAAGATTCAATATTCTTTTAGTCGATATGACTGTATCTTCATTATTTGTATGAGTAAAATTGTTGGGAAAATGATGTTTGTTGTTATCATTGAATGATTGTAGTGATGGATTAGAAGACATTTCTCTGTTGTTAAGGTGTACAATTGAGTTAAAAGCATTGTTGATGGTTGTTTTGGTTGGGAGAAGGATATTCTTGAAGTTGGTATAAATTCCATTTCGGACCAACATTGACTGTTTTCTTAGTTGCTGATCAACTAAAGTTTAAAAATTAGTTTTCTCCAACAAATACCAATGACTTGTACAAAAGTACTCATAAAGTGATGAGTTAAGCTAATATACGGTCCCTCAACTTTAGTATATGTAGCATTTTGATCCTAATCTTTCAAACAAAGTAAATTGGTTCTTCAACCACCCATAACTTACTTTTCCGATGGAAAAAATATGAGTCACCAAAGGACCTATTTTAGTTAGCAAAAGTTTAGGGACCATGATTCATTAAAAAAAAAAGTTATTTTTTTCAGGTTTTATTTAAAAAGGAATCTTTTAACTAACATTAAATTTTTTCATCAACATTAATATTTTCGTTATGATTTGCATTAATAAAACTATAGAATTTCCGAGAAAAAAAAAAACCTATAGGATTTTCCATCTTTTATCACCCCACATCAACAACAACATGCCACAAACACAATCACATCTCCATCAGTCTCCAGCCTCGCCACCGTTATTAATCAACCACGCAATCCAAATCTTCGATTTGGTCGAACTATATTGCGCATGAGCTTGTATAGAATTAATAAAATCAGGAGGCCAAGATTAAATCACAAAATAAATCAAAGGTTGAAATTAAAAGATGGTGATTGCTGATGATCGTGAATGAAGTGCAAAGTAGGGGATTGTTTCCCCCATTAGAGCAGCCAAACTGAAATAGAAGAAGAGAGGGCTAACACTTTTTTTTTAATTCTTTTACTATTCCCTTCTTTCTTAATTTTTCCTTTTACTATTTCTTTAACTTGAAGTATTTCCCGTCAAAAAAAAAAAACTTGAAGTATTTAATTTTTTTTGAAAGAAAGTCGAAGTATTTAATTTTTGAAGTCATATTTAATATTCTTCTTTAATCCTTTAAGACATAATTTTTTTTTTTAAAAGTCATTTACTTTTTAAATAAGCAAAAAAATTGGCTATGTTTTCTTTCATTTTAATCAAAGTTTGTACATAATAAATAATAAATATTAGTAGCTGACAAAAATAAAAATACTGATTTATAATCCCTAAACAAATGCTAATTAGGATAAGTCCCTTAACTTTTGCTTAGTTGCATAAGTTCCTCCACCATAAATGGTGAGGCAAGGGTGGTAGAGGGACTAATTTGCCTCATTTGAAAGATGAGGGACCAAATATGCAACTAATGTCATAATTCAGGGACCGTATTTTAGCTTATCTCCATAAAGTGATACTTGAACTGAATTTGATAGAGAAAAGATCAAATACGGTCCCTCAACTCTTGTATTTGTACATTTTTAGTCCCTCTAAACTCTTTTGTGCACTTTTGGTCCTTCCTCCAACTTGTGTGGTGTTTCCTAACCAAAAGTTAAGGGACTTTGCTGACTAAGCATAAGTTTAAGGACTTCCAATCAGCAAATAAGTTCAAGGACGTTGTGTCAGCAATAGTTTAGGGATGTTGAGTCAGTTTTTTTTTTTAATATCTTTTTCCAATTTGGGCACGAGAATTGGAAAGGTTAATGCCTTTTTATTCACCCTTCACCTCATTGGCTGCTCTCATCATTTCCTTTTTCAGATAAAAAGCAGAGCTTTCCCTTTCAAAAAAAAAATCGTCCTTCCTCTTCAAGCAATTTGCCATTAATGTGGGAGTGTGCTTGGGAATCTTCTTGCTAGAAAGCGAAATTAGCCCAGCTGCAATCTACAGAAGGTATATTCCCTTTTTTTGTCTTCATCTTCTTTATTTTGCCATTAATGGTGTTGTTTGTACAGAGTTGTTGGTTGTTTTGTTTTTGTTGGGCGAATTTTGTTTTTGAGTGGTTTGTCTTATTTTTGTTGTCAACATCTTGTAAGTTGTATGTGTATTTGTGTTGTTGTGGCTGATTATCAAAATTGGATTTTTTTAGGGTAGAATTTCTTGAGAATTTCTAGGGTTTTGGTGTTAGTGAAACAGAGTTGTTTTTTAACATGGAAAAAACCTTGTCTAACCCCATTAATTCACCTAGGTATGGACGCTCTTTCCGATGCTCACCCAATTTTTAGCAACCCCAATCTGCTTGTCCTCCATGTCTTCCCAAAGCTGGACTAGGGGAGTTGGGATATGCAGGAAATGGCGTCTGTGGTGGATGACTCACCACCTTGCCCGACTCGAACCCTTTTACGGACCCAAGGCCTCTATTAACGAGTGGATTCTCAACGACCTCATCTACAATGATCCACAAGGACATGACAGTCTACTTTGATGGCTTCCCACTACTCTTCAAGGAGGAGCAGTAGGCTGCAGTTGTTAGGTTGGGGGAGGGCTATGTGCAGCTTGTTGGTTTTTGGTGTTAGGAGCTGCTAGTTTTAAGCATTCTATGATCTTAATTTAGTTTTAAGGTGGAGGTAGTTTTTTTTTCCATTGTCATAGCTTGGAATGTATGTAGGTAGGTTGAATATGACATTCATGATGCACTCAATCTGTTATGAAGTTTTTAGTTAAGTGCATGTTTGATATTGGATTATGATAATGTACATGTTTGATATTCTTTAATTCATTTTTTGTTAAGTTACTTGATTACTCAATTGTTAAGCAAGTTAAACATAGTCTATATTTTATTATGCCAGATTATGGAATTAAAACCTTGTTTGGTTGTACATCATGGTGGTGAATGGCAAATTGGTTGTGAATCATTTTACATTGGTTGTAAAATAAATGTGTTTAAGGACATTCCAGAAACTGTAGATGCTCAGTATGTTAAGACCTTACTTGATGGTTTGGGGTACATAAGGTCCATTTCTTAGATCCTAGAAAGGATTTTAACTCTGGTATTAGGTACCTTTCTTTTGAGAAAAATATTTGTGATCCATTTCTAACCTTACTTCTACAGTAAAAGCTCATACATATATGTACAGAGCACCAAGAACCTGTTAGGCCTTTGTTTCTGAATATAGGGAGAAGGAGTTTTTGAGTTTATTAACTACAGATAATGAATAAGAACATGAGCCTGTTCAGAAACAAAATGAGGGAGTTAAGTTGGATGCACATGATCATATTGAAGGGGACAAGTTGGAAGAAGATGATCATAATCCCAGGCATGACAAGGCAGACATAGACTATGACACTAAAGGAACTGATGTAGATTATGAAGAGGTTGTGCAAGTGTAGGAATATTTCAAGAATCACACACTTGAGCCCCACTGTGATCATACACTTAAGCATGGTGGCGTCCAAAGGGAAGGAAGCTAGAGCAAAAGAGTCACCAACAAGTTTTAGAAACTTGTAAACCGTTCACGGGATGAAGGTTACACCCCTTCACGATCCATAAGATCACTAACTCCATAGTGGTCTAGAACCATGACTAGTTATTCGGGGATGAAGGTACAAACAAAACCTAAAAAAGATTAAACCTGCCCTAATAATAGGCCTCTACTTTATTCTTCTCATATTCATGTGCGTTTTCTGACTAACATACAATCAATAAGTTAACCCTAAACCTGTTTATCTATGTTGGTTAAATATTAATGCACAAACAAAATTGTTATTGGCGATCACTTGAATTATGATCATATTAGCGTAAACAAGATTATTAATTATGTTATTAAGCGTGATTACAAGTGCAAATTCCCTTTAAACATGCAAGAGAGGGCGTGATCAAGCAATAACAATAAAAATATTAATCAAGCAACATAATCATAGCAATCATCATCATCATCATAATCTCAATAATGCATAAAAATAATAGCAAAATTCTAGGCATGATACTAGCAAGATTAATAACAAACCATAGCATGTCACTAAGCTATAAAGATCAAAGCTTCATCCCTAACATGATAGAAGGAAAGAATAGGAAGCATCTTAGAAACATGCATGATATTAGAAATATTAGTTATTACCCTAAACATGATACTAGGAATCATAAAGATATCGTAACATGATACTAGGGATTAAAATAATCAAAGCATGATTTCTATATAAAAAGAATAACAAAGTAATTAAATTACTTACTTCGATGCCTCGTATCTTTTTCTAATAACAATATATACACGTTAGTAACTTCAAGGAAATATTAAATAAAACAATTAATTAAATACTCCCTTCGTTTCAAGTTACTCGCAACAATTACCAATAATGGTCGTTTCACATTACTTGCAACAAGTTTTTTTCCTTTTATAGTAAGTTTTTTAGTGTGATTTTACAAAATTACCCTTACTTTTGTTTTTAAACACCTTAATTATTAAACTATTGTTTTTATCTCATTAACTTAAACTCTACATTGATTAACTTAATCATTTCCACCAAAATCATTCCCCTCCCAACTAAATTCATCATCACTTTCAATTTCCAACCACCACCACTACCATCACCAATACTACCACCATCACCACCACCACCATACCCAGAATTTCTCTCTCTTTCTTCACCGATCTACCCTTAATTCGTCTACAACACCTCGCCGGAAATCACGCCGATGTTGGTTATCCCTCGCTTGTGGGTTTTGGGTTCGAAATCTGGGTTGTGGGTTTTAGGTTTGAAATCTGGTGTAGACACCTAAAAATGTCTCCCCAAAACCAAACTCGATGATGAAAACCTTTCAGCGCCATTATTGGTCGGGTTTAGTATTTAATCTTGGAGTGCTTAAATCCATATTTCCATTTCATAAAACAACCCAACTTCTAGCCCATTTCCCCAAACCATAACTTATTTTCCACTTTTCGTGCCTTTAAAAATAATTCACTTCATGTCCTTTAAAATCATTCATTTCGTGTCCTTTTTATAAAACATTTAATCCAGTTTATTTTGGTCCATTATCTGGGTTCAATGATTGAATAGTTGGATGGGACTTTAAAAGATTTTTCCAAATATTATAAGCCCAAATCTGAGTTATAACGAATAAGTTATGGCTAAAATGTTAAATTAAGCCCAAATCGAACCTAAGCTCACCTTACCTACGACCCAATGATCATGTGGAGGGTCCAAATGATTTAATCCAATTCCTAAACTAATTAGGATTAATTAGAAACTTCTACAAGTTTCTAGAAGATCCTAATTATCCTTTTTGAAAAGATAAGATTAAAGAGTTTGAAATTGAATAAAACTTTTCTTTTTAAAAGTCCTAATTTGATTCGAATTGAAACACGTTCAAAGATAGACAGATATTATTTTCGTTCATCATATTTTATATCCAAATACTATATGGTTGGATATCTCTTGAAATTATATTTCCAATGATATATTATAATATCAATTCCGAGCTATAACGGAAAAGATATGAATAAAATGTCAAACTCTATCCAAAACTGACACCGTCTCACTATTTCGGCCATATCTTTTATTCTATAAACTATTTTTATCTGATTTCAATTGGGTTAGAAAGTAGACTTCAATATATTTCCAACTATATCTTATTCATCTCATTCCGATTTCTAGATCAAAAGATATGATAAAAACAAAAAAAGTAAAAACTGTTGTCTATCACAAGAGTTTTAATCCGATTCGAACTAGATCTTTTCTTGATTCTTCGACCCCTCTTTTTTCTCTATAAATAGAGCTCATATCTTCCCTTTTTCAATCATCAACAAGGTTGATCACAAAATAATTCTTTTCTCCCTCTTTAGACTAAACACTAGCCATCCCCATTCTTTCACTATTTCTTCCTTTAAGCACTCCAAGGAGTTCATACAATACCTAAAGTTCTATACTTAAACCAAGGCGTGAAAAGGTAGAATTAACTGAGGGTTTGGACCAAATCAAATCTATATTTATTTAATTTAATTGTTTCAATTTGATTTATATTTTTATTGAAGTTACTAACGGTTTATTCATGATGTAGCAATTCAAGGAAACGCGAAAAGTGAGTAATTAATCACTTAATTACTCTTATTTTTATTCTTGTTGCTAGTATCATGATTAGGTTATTTCATATTTGATTTGACTAACGCTATTATTTTAAA